GCGAGGCAGACATCTTACCTAACTGGTTGTCTGTCAGTGATGGGGGCCATGGGACAGCATCTCCTTGATCCTGGTTTAATCTAGTTCCAACAGGTGGCCCCTGTTGATGTGGTAGTCTCTGCAACAGATGGTGTGTGTTTCTTCAGGGGCACTATTTAGCCTCCAGCTCCCTCCATCACTGAGGAACTCTTTTCTCCCATTGGCTCTATCAGTTCTCCATGCCCTGGACCCTCTCTCAAGATGGAGTATCCTAAACTTGGTATCTCCTGCCTTCTCAACCTAACCGTTGTGGTCTTTCATATGGAGCCATAGTAACTGCCGAGGTCCTTTTTTCTGCCCTCCAAGGGCTGCAGAGAACTGGGCATACTATACCATAGTCCTTTCTTATGCTGCTCCAACCTACCTCCTTCAGAAATTTCCATATGAGAAGTAGATACCATATAGTGTTCGGAGGCCCCCAACCCTAAGATATGACATATCAGGTTCACCCAAGAATTCCCTTACCTTGGTGGCCTGTAGTTTTCTGCAACACATCTGCCATTCAGCTGGGAATTGAGATACCCATCTCCCCTTATTACAGTTACCCCTAAATCTGGCGGAGTGTTTCTCTTAGAGCCTTCCCTGCCCACCCATTTGGCTTTGGAGTTGGGGGTAAAGAAGGAGGGAATACCCTCCCATTACAAACGTGGTACTATTCTCCCAAGGACTCTTGACACCCTCCCTCTTAATCTTCCTTTTATATGTGCTGGAAACAAGGAGATGGTGAGAAGATAGCCTAGGGCTAGGTCTTCCTTATGTTAAGCCCTAAATCATGCTAAGCCCTAAAGGAGGTATCTGGCCTTAGCTATTGAAAGTTCTTTTTAAAATATGGAGTATTCTCTTTTCCTAAACTTTGGACCCAGTTGACAATTTCAGGGCAACCAGAAATTCCCACTCAATGCATTTATTTTTTCTTTCACTCGCCCCCATTATAATATACACTGTCTAGTACTTATGTGTATTTTGAAGTCAGTAATGCTTGTAGGCAGCTAGGAAGACCACAATAAATATGTGTTCAATTGGGTCAAATTTGTATTAAAAACATTTATTAAATGACATTTAATTGATAATGGAACAAATTAAGTTTAAAAATTCTTAGTGGGGTCAGACAAATAAGTGTTTAATTTGATGAAGACTTTATAAGGAAGATTATATTTCTAATAATAATATTGCTGGCTTTTTGAAAATTCTTTCTCCTTTTAATGATAGCCATATATGCTATGAAAATTTAAATAAGTTAAAATAATTTTGGTAAAAAATTTTTTTCCAGTTTTATACTTCCCCTTGAGAAAATAGAGATGACATGATATTGTGTCTTTGTATAACAAAAACATGTATGGATTCCAGGCTAAGTGTCACTCACTCTGCCAACCAGTTGGTATATAAAGAAGAGTGAGATATGGTTCCTTCTGTGATGAGATGTGGTGTCTAAGAGGCAGAGACAGATGGGTATAATTGAAGGGAAGCTGGCACACTTAGGGGCAGTAGTGAGATGACTAGATAAGGTGAATATGGCTAAGGACTTGGGATGGAAGAGACAGAGGTGAAATGGTATGGAGTTGGCTGATAAAGAATTTTGGTAAGGATAGAGAATATTTCTTCAGGTCTGAAGGAAACCTTCCTGTTAAAGGCTACTCTGTCAGTAACAGCAAGATCTTTGGCAAAGAAGTGGTTTTGATAACTGGTAGGAAAATTCTCAAGAACTGACTAGATGGGAGAGGAAAGGGCAATTTTGGGAAAAGAAAGAGAATTTTAAGTGCTGGCTTTCTTCTCTTTTGATTGCTAGAATTTACTCTCTACGTGAGCCCCAGACACCCACTAAGGTCATTGTACTTTCAGAAGCAGAAGAGGAAGGTCTAACGCTCAATAAAGGGTAAGTTTGTATTTGTGTCATGAAATGTTTTTTTTTGTGTTTTTTTTTTTTTT